ATGTGGTGCTGGGGGATCGAACCGCGGTCCCTGATGCTTTGCTAAGCTTGTTCTAAGTAGGTGCTTTAGACCACTGAGCCATCTCTCCAGCCCCTCACTTAGCCATTTCTAGTGCGAGGATGATGGTTCTCGCCTCATAAGCCTGACTGCTCGATCAGCTGGTGCTTAGTGAGGGCCACCTGCCAGCTGGACATCCAGCCCTGGGGATGTGAAACGACAAACCACCTTCTGCCCTCAGAGCAGGAGGACAAAATTAGGTCATGGCCCCTGAGTGGAGGTATCGTGCTGCTTCCTGAGACGCTCTGCTGATATTTTACTATTTTGCCAATTATTTCAACAGTGATTATATTTCACTCCAGGATGAAGGAGCCCCTTGAAGAGGCCCCGTGTGGGCAGGACTCTGAGGGAGGGCATTGCCATTCATTTTCTTACTAGATTTTCAGGGATGGACAGCACTTCTAACACTAGTACGTGGACTTGCAAAACATATCGCTTGGATAAATTGATGTTGCTCTTTCCAGGGAGACTCAGGCATAAGTATCCCAAGTGAGTCCTGTGATTCACTCCCTTCCATCCACTTCTAAACTTGTGCTTGGAGTGACAGATGTGAGGCTCTGCCATCTCACCGCGACACCGATTGTTCACTGTTCTGAGAAGGTCACATCATCATTCATTAGCAATAATTAGTCCCCAGGGACCCCCTGCACTTCTTCACTCAACTGCTCCATTAACTTGGGTGCAAATCACACATTCCAGACACCAATCAATGAAGATTTGCCCATAATGTACAAGGTGATGCTATTAGTTACAATATATTAACTGCTTAATTTTAAAATAAAAAAAGCTATCTTTATGAAGGGCAATTAACCACTAAATGTAATTGATCATTCATAAACCTCTGATTAGGAAAGACAAATAATAAGAAAGGAATGAATCACCTGAGCTGCAGAACAAGACGTGTTCAGCATCTGGGTCTGTGTTCCCTCTGCTATCAGCTGGTCTACAGACTTCTTCCAAAGTTGCCCCTGGCAGCCCCCAGGCTGGGAGAGTCCAGAGGCTCCATGATGCCTGCTTATGTCTGTTGGGGCTTGGGAAGGGGATTACAAGCTCAAGGACAGCCTGAGAGAAGCAGCTGGTGAGGTCATTTAGACTTCTCCATCAGTCATTCAGAAAACACTTATGGGGGGCTGCCATGTGCCATGCACTGGGGGTGGCATGGAGGCTGGACAGACCCCATCCTTTGATTGTCAATGAGGTTCAGGTTGTACCTGGAGTTGTTCCCTCCCCCCACACATTAGGAAGAGGCGGGGGCCTGGCTCCATCCCACCGTCTTGGTGGTTCTCTACTTCAGCCTCGTTTTCTACTCCGTATTCCTTTTCCCCAAGCTGTCGTTCTATTCTAGAGATTAGAGCCCATTTACGGGCCTGCTCAAAACAGTGGGCTGCTTTTCCCTCTGTGTGGCCTGGATTTTGGGACTAGATTTTCCAGGAACCTCCTCAGAGACTCACATGGGATACGACCTCTCTCTCAGTAGGACAGCTCTCGGAGGCACTAACTTCTGTTCCCCACACAGAGTTCTAAGAGCCACATGGGGTGAAGTAGAAATCAGCCATATCCTTAAGAGGAGGAACAGAAAGCCCTGGACCCTTCCGGGACTTGGTTTTCTCGCCAGAAAGTGGGAGAAACTGGTTGAGTTTTTGGTAGAGACTGATTCCAAGCCTCAGTTCTGAGCAATTGGATCTGATCTGTGTATCATTTCTGGGCTCCTTTGGGTGGGGCTACATCTGTAAAATGGAAATGTGAGCACATTCTTCTATGTGAGTGTTGATTAGTAAGTTGTGAGTTATGCATTTAAGATTTAGGTTATTGAAATCCAAGAGTGAAAAGATATGTGAAACATCAGAACATCCTCCTTTGCCTTTGGAGGCCAGGGAGATGGACAAGTTGAGTGACATGTTTGCGACCTAGACCCTGTGACCATTAGCACTGTGGGTTAATTGTGCTGGGTTTTCTTAAATGTGCCTTGTTGGCCCTAGGGCTTGCAGCCTGGGTTTTCCCCGTGATGCCACGCAGTAGATCTATGAAAATGCCAGTTATGGTCCAGTCATGGCAAGTCTGGGCTTGTCCCAGCCCCGGAGACCTGGACCAGGGAGCTAGCAGGGTGGTCCCCATTGCCTTAGGCCCCACCTCCAGGCTGTGCAGCCTGTGTTTGTGCCCTCCTCCCACAGAGTGGGCCCTTACCGGTGGGCACCAGGCCCTCAGGCACCTCTCCTTGCACTAACAGGCCTTGCCCTGGTTACTGCCCATGCCCACTTTTCCCTCTGCCTTTCTTGTACCTCCTGCCCAGTGCCTTTGGTTTCCAGGGTCTCAGCTCCAGGGTTGCTTCCCCAGGAAGGCCCAACCTGATTCTCGGCCTCCACTGAGAGCCTTCTGTCTTTTCATCCTATTTGTGTCCTTTACAGACTCTCACCTCCATGGCAAATCGCCTTTCCATTGAGGCTTTCTTGTTTGTTGCCTGCCTCCCACCTCATACCTTGGACTGTGGCCTGGAGAAGGGTCCTTGCCTGTGCTCACGGCTGCAGTGCTGTGTGACTAGCACTTGGTAGATGCTCAGTCATTTGTAGGAAGGTGGAATGGCATCCATTTTGTGGCTTTGTGTTCTGGGAACTTTGTCCCATGTGGCGCCCACCAGGAAAGGGTAGCACTGCTGCTGGCGGTGCATCCTCCCTCCACCTTGGGTCTGCATGGGGTGAGTTCTCTCTGTCCAGCCCGGAACCATCCATGCACCACGACTGTTGGCAAACCTTCCTCACCAACAGCAGTGAGCTGGGCCCCAGCTAGACCCCTCAGCCTTTGTCCTTTGTGGGAACCATGGCCCATGATTGATAAGGTGTGGATGAGGCATGGATATACAGAGCTCAGGTGCAACCTGCGATACTGAGTGTTGTGGAAAGTTACAGACAAGCTCTGGACATCCCAAGGTGACCTCGAGCCAGTCCAAGTCGGGTGGGGTGGTGAAGTTAAGTGCTGAGCGGCCTTGAGGTAGGGCTAGGATTGGCACAGGTAGAGAGGCAGTAGTGACATACGGGGGTGAAACTCCCAACCTGAAAGGTGCCTGGACAAGTTCGTTTTCTCTAATACCGAAAAATGGATTTTAGCAACAAATGGAGGTTAGTAGCAGCATATATTTATTGGAGGAAAGAAAGCTCTCATCTTAGAGAGAGACAGAAGAGGGATTTGAGCGAGTTGCCCCGGGAAGCTGTCTTTCAGGGATTTTTATAGAGTAAAACCATGTGGTAAGGTGGGTCTAAGAGAACATGGGAACTCGCTTAGGTGGGCATGAGGTAGGACAAAACTATGGTCAACCAATAAGGTTACAAGCACCATTGCTCAGGTAAAATTGATTAAGTCCTCAAATGGGGAAGTGAGTCACATAGCAAGCAGGCAGGAATATAGAACAGGAGTTTATCCAGTAGCAAGTAGCAGTTGGATTAGTGGTTCTTCCTGACTTCCAGGTGATGATCAATTCCAGATACTTATCTTTAGGAAGGTAAGCATTTGTTCAGTCTTTGGACTTTAGGTCTGCCCACAGCAAGAGCACCCATCTCCCCCTTACAGCTGTATGGTATCTTGTCTGCCATGCTATCTCAGTTGAGGGCCTAGCCCTGTCTGACTGCCTATAATATTTTTTTTCTAACTGGGCTGCCTACAACATGTTCCAGGTTGAGGGTGTCGAATGTGTCCCAGTTGAAGGAAGGGGCACAGGAGGAGAAAAGGGTGCCCTCAGGAGTTTGGGTATGTTAAGTCTGGTAGGAGGAACAGGGGGCTGTGGGGCATGGTCCAAAGAAGGGGGGGGGGCTACTCCAGTTCATAAATCCCACCCTGAGCATACCTGGGGTCAGTTAAGGCCATCTCGGGGACTCATGGTGATCTCACCCTCTCGGGACTTGACCATTTGCCTTTAGGGAAGTGTCATGCTCTGGGTCTCTTCCAGGAGCCCACACACCACATGCTGACAGCACCCTCACCTGTTTTTTCTCATTAGACTGAAGCAGTCCCAGCTGAAGGTGAGATTCTGTACCAATGAGTCACAGAGGTCCCGGGGAAAGCTGGTGGGGTTGCTTCAGCGGCTGGGGTTCGACATCTCCGAGGGGGAAGTGACTGCCCCAGCACCAGCTGCCTGCCAGATCCTAAAGGAACGAGGGCTGCGGCCACACCTGCTCATCCATGATGGTAAGTCAGCAGGGGCTTGGGACTGTGGGGGGTCTGAGGACAGGGTGGAGGCAGGGGAGATGGCCTGGACTCGACTGGGGCCAACTGCAGGGAAGGACACTGAGCAATACCTGGCTTCTGTCATGACACTCACGGACCTGTGGGGTACAGACCGCGTGGGCTCCCTGCTGGGGGTAAGGTAGCACCAGGCCGCATCCATCTCCCAGTTTCATCCAGAGGGTCTGAGAGGAGAGCTTAGGGTGGCATTCCCCTGCCCTGCCCCAGACCAAGGAGCCAAGGAGTTGCCTGTGGGACAGTGTGTAGTACCCACCAGAGACAGTCAGACAGTGACAAGACAGAGCAAATGAGAAAAGCTGGATTGAGATCTGTGTCTTTCTAAAGCCTGGCACTGTACCCTTGCGTGGTGATATCCAGCTTGACAATGGCTGCAGGAACAAAGTTTGCATCTGATCATTTAGTATGAGTGCAAGACATGAACCTCTTTGACCTCAGAGGAGAAATTTGGGGGGCTAAAGCAGAAAGAGCAATATTATAAATATCCTAAATAGTTTAAAAAAAAAAAAAAGAGATGTCTGCACTGCCCTGGAATGAAGGATGCTTCTCTGGCCTTCCTCTGAGAGTTTTTCCTTTTTTCCTCTGTACTTTATTTTTAACTTTTTATTTAATATAAGTAGATATTAATTTAAAAATAAAATCATCTATGAAAAAATGGAACAAAATTTCATAATTGAATAGAAAATATTAATGCTTAATATACTGTATATTGTGATCTTAAGAATGGCCAAAATGTTGTTCAGAGTACAAGACGTAGGAACAAAGTTTGACAAAAAAAAGACTTTACAAAGAACAAAAAAATGAGAGGACAAAAGTTTCTTTTCAGTGGACAAAAGAAACTAGTAGGATAAATGGAACAAAGTAGCATTTATTTATTTTTTATTTTTTTTAATTTTTTTTTTACATTTATTTATTGTGTGTGTGTGTGTGTATGTGTGTGTGGCCAGCTCAGCCCACCTGGGGGCGGGGCTGGCTGGCATGTGGTGCTGGGGGGTTAAACCGTGGTCCCTGTGCTTTGTTTAGCTTAGCTTGTTCTAAGTAGGTGCTTTAGACCACTGAGCCATCTCTCCAGCCTCCTTTTTTTTTTTTTTTCTTTTCTGGTGGAACCAGGGATTGAACTCAGGCCCTTGCATTTGCCAGGGAAGCGCTTATTCCACTGAGCCATCTCCCCGGCCACAAAGTAGCATTTATCTTACTTGATTTTTATTTTTACAAACCACTGGGCAGAGACAGCTGCTTTCCTCCCTCCCAGGGGAGGAGTGGGACTTTCACAGTAGCTTAAGGGTCAAATTCAGAGCCCTGCTACCAGTTAAGGGCAGCGTGCCCAGCTGTTAGGGACCTGCTTCTCGAAGCCCTTTCTCCGTAGTTCAAGACCTCTGCCAGTGTCTTTAAAAGTGGTTCTCAAAGAAGAAAAGTCTTTAAAAAATTCTGTCTCCCTGGAGTCCACAAAAGGGTTACCAGGTACAGGAGTAGGAACAGAAGAGGCAGGGAGTTAACAAAAATACAGCATTTGCCTCTAAGGTAGTTAATCAGAGAACTGACCCAAGAGTGGGCAGAGTTTGAGAAGATTGGAAAAGGCAGCAGGAGCCCTCGCAGGGCTAGCACCTGCGTCTATGCTTTCAAACGTGGGCCCGTGTGTTCAGAGTTTACGTTGTTTTCATGTAATATGATTGAAGACTCTCCCCCAATATTTCATCTTAAAAATTACAAACATAGGGGTCAAGGAGATGGCTCAGTGGAATAAGCGCTTCCCTGGCAGACACAAGGGCCTGAGTTCAATCCCCGGTTCCATAAAAAAAAAAAAAAAAAAAAAAAAAAAAAAAAAAAAAAAAAAAAATTACAAACATAGAACCACACTCAAAGAATTTTACTTGGAATGTTTTTATATCCATCCCCTAGATTTTGGCAGTGAACTCTTCCCTATATCTTTATCCATCCTTCCATCTGTCCGTTTGTTATTGCTTGGGTACATATGAAATAAATAGTAGGCATTGATACATTTCCCTTAAATACTTCAACTAGAATTCAGTGTTTTTTTCTTTTGATATAAAATGGACACACAGTGAACTACTACAACCCCAAGTGTACTTTTGCTGAGTTTTGACAAGTGCATTCACCAGTGCAACCCAACCACATCAAGGTCGAGAACAGCAGTGGTCGAGAGCTCTAAAAGGTTGACCGTCGCTGGTCCAGAACATTATTATTACCTGCAGTGTCCCTCAGGCCCTTTCTAGCTAGGCCCTACCATCTTTCCACTGGGCGCAATCATAATTTTGCTATTTTCCATTACAGTTAAGTGTACTTATTCTAGAATTTCACATAACTAGAGTCATAGTGTATAACTGTGTCAAGGGCTCCCCAGATTACCCACAGGATTGGTGCTCCCTGCAGTGGTGCATAGGATCTAGAAAGGTTTTACATTCATGATGACAGTAAAAAAAAAAAAGAAGAAGAAAGAAAAAAGATTCAGCAGGAGGAGACACATCATGCAAAGGCTATGAGAAATCATATGTGAGGTCCCTTTGCCTGGGATGTGCTTAATTGTTGCAGGAATAGTGGGTGACAACACATGTGAAATGCTAGCTGACAGGGAAGCTTAACAGACCTTCAGCACCTGAGGCTTTTCTTACGGGTCACTCGTGTAAGCATATAGTACCCATGCAACTGACTTTAGCTACTTAATCTCCAGAGAGAGATTAAATGGGTACAGCATGGCCCTAGGTCTTAGGCATGCATACAATGTCCAGTGCAGCTCTTGAGCAGCTCCCAAGGGAAAGATTGTGAAGAAATAAAGGGGCCAGGGATACAGCTCATCAGCTCAGGGTCTGCCTGGCAAGTGCAAGGTCCTGAGTTCAATTCCCCGTACAAAAAAAAGAAAAAGAAAAGAAAGGAAGGCAGGCAAGAATGGAAATGCAGAAAGCTCAGATCAGGTGGAGTGCTCTCTCATAGTAGAGAAATGAACCACCCAACAGCTGCAGTGTTTTTATCTATACCCGCTGCAGGTTGCTGTCAGGTGAAACCCCTCTGCCTAACAGCCTATCACACTCCATGTTCTCGGGCCCATCAGCCTGGCTCGCCTCGGGCACTGCATGCCCTCGGGCCGCACTAGCTTGTTCTTGGGGCCAGCTTGGGTGCTCTCTTCTCGGGGCTGGCCTCACTCCAACCCCGCATGTATGATGGGTGTCCAGCCTCAGCAGTTCCCCACACATATAGACCTCTCACCAGGCAGGATGCCGCTGCAGGACCCAGAGGTTCTCTCCAGAGCTGGCGGAGTGCCAGCCCAGAGCACGGAGCAGGACTCGAGCAGGCCAGCCCGTTCAGCTTGCCATTTCTTTCACACTGGTTTTTGTATAAAGGCTTCTGTCTCCACCATGTTTTCGGCATTTATAGAATTGTTGCATGGATCTGCAGTGTCTCCCTTTCTGTCATAGAGTAGCATTCCACTGACTGATCTACCAGCGTGTTTGTTCCTCACAGTGCGTGGATACTTGACTGTTTTCTAGTTTCAGGCTGTTATGAATAAACTGCAGTGGACGTGTGCGAGTGTAGAAGGGTGTGAGGGAACCCCCAGGTCACAGCAGTGCTTTGGATCCTGATGGGGATTGCGTTACACCATGGGTAAAAACCTAGGGGGAGAATTGCTGGGCCACAGGGGACAGGTGTGTTCATTTTTTTAAGAAATTGCCAGCCCCTTTCCCTTGTGCTGTTTTATAGCTCATTAGCTGCTGTACCTGCTCCACATCCTCATCAGCACTTGGCATTGTCAATCTTTCTAATCCTTGCCATCTGGTGAGTAGGTAGAGGGCTCATTGTGGCGACTTTTTATTTATTTATTTATTTATTTATTTATTTATTTATTTATTTATTTATT